TCGAAGAAACGAGAATTCGCTCGAATCCATTCGTCAGGACTGCACTTCTTGATTTGTATGCTAAGTGTGGGCGCCTAGAGATGGCTCGAGAGATATTTGACGAGCTAGGTGTGTACAGAAATGCAGTGACTTGGAATTCTATGATCTCAGCTTACACAAGAAATGGGGACTTAATTGCAGCAAGAAAGCTCTTCGATCGAATGCCACAAAAGAACGTTGTGTCGTGGAATTCAATGATCGTTGGCTATGCACAAAACGGACAATCGGAACTAGCTATTAATCTCTTCAAAGAAATGATAAACGAACAATTAATAACTCCCGATGAAGTCACCATGGCTAGTGTTATATCGGCTTGTGGTCATCTAGGTGCCCTCGAATTGGGCCAGTGGGCTTTGGACTTCACTACTTCAAATCGTATAAAGTTGAGTGCATCCGTGTACAATTCTCTGATTTTCATGTACTCTAGGTGCGGGTGCATGAACGAAGCAAATAAGATATTTTCTAAAATGGAGACGAGAGATGTGGTGGCCCACAACGCGTTGATCACAGGCTTTGCTGCTCATGGAAACGCCGTTGAAGCCCTCAAATTTTTTGAAAGAATGAAAGACGAAAACGTCCAACCAGATCGAATTACTTACATCGGCGTTCTAACGGCGTGCAGTCATTCGGGGATGTTGGATGAGGGCAAAAAGGTCTTTTTGTCGATAGAAGCCCCGGATATAGATCACTACGCATGCATGGTTGATTTGCTTGGTAGGGTAGGTAAACTAGACGAAGCCAAAAGAATAATTGAAGAAATGCCCGTTTATCCACATGCAGCAATATATGGATCTTTGTTGAGTGCTAGTCGAATTCACAAAAGAATCGAAATTGGGGAGTTTGCTGCAAAGAAGCTTTTCGAGCTTGAGCCAGAAAATTCGGGGAATTACGTTTTGCTCTCTAACATATACGCATCTGCAGGGAAGTGGAGAGAAGTCGATAGAATCAGAGGATTGATGAAAACGAGAGGGCTGACGAAGACAAGTGGATGGAGCTCGGTGGAGCACGATAGAAAGGTGCACAGGTTTACGGTGGGCGAGCGCTCACACGATTTATCAGACGCAATTTACGAGAAGTTGGCGGAAATGAAGAGGAAGATGAAGGGTGCTGGATATATAGCTGATAACAGCAGTGTGTTGCGAGATGTTGAGGAGGAAGACAAGGAAGAAATGGTCGGAACTCATAGCGAGAAACTGGCTGTTGCTTTCGGTCTTCTTGTTAGTGAACCGGGAACTGTTATAAGGGTGATGAAGAACTTACGGATTTGTCGGGATTGTCATACTGCTATTAAGATGATTTCGAAGCTCGAGGGGAGAGAGATTATTGTGAGGGATAACAACAGATTTCATCGGTTTACGGATAATGTTTGCTCGTGCAATGACTATTGGTAGCATGTGTGCATGTGAGCATATATATATATATAATATATACACACACACACACTGAGATGACTTCTCGACAGAGGGTCATGAAGAAGAAAAAGAAGAAGCTGGCGAAATTCGGTGAGAGTCTTAATCTGTGTATGTAGCCTAGAGTAAGTCTTGTGTTCATTTTATTTTTTAATTTATGTTTTTGCAGGTTTCGTTGTTGGCAAATTTGCTGGTGTCGTATCAATCAACAAATTTTCAGCAAGAACTTCCTGACAACGAAGCACGATTGCAGATGTTGCAATTATTTTGCCTTGCTAGACAAGAAGATGTATAAATTATATATAAATCCCGAAAATCGTTTGGCTACGTTTCTTCTGTTTTCAGGGAGATGCTGCAGTTCTAGAGAAGTACCGTATAGCAGTGCCTAAAGCTTATGAAAGCCAAGGGATCGTTTTTCGATAACAAGGTGAATTTGAATAGATGTACTATTTTGCTTTCTTTTTTTTTTTTTTTTTTTTTTCGTGCAGACACTAGAATCTTCTTTCACGTTTTAAAAACGATGCAATGCATTATTATCACCTTTTTTAACTTGCATGGTCTTGTAATAAACTTTCTTGAAGAAATATATATGTTATAATGTTTTAAAGTCAAAGGTAAAACCATAAACCTCGTATTCGTATATGCCTCGACGCATCGAATTCAGTAGTGATAAGACAGCTTGGATTGTCCTATTTATTCACAAGCTTAAACAGCCTCTTAGCAGATGCTTTTTTTTCGTACTGAGATTGCATTGTTCGGTTAAGGCCGTGTTCGATGGCTAAAGTCAACATAGGGTCAAGGGGCTATAGCCCCTACTACATCTCTATATTCTTCTAGTATTTGATGCAGACATTTATTCACTTTCGAGCACTGTATCGATTTAGATCGTGGTTTATTAATGAAAATAAATATTCATTAACCTGAAGTATTATGGTTTATGGTTCTTGCTCATATTTTCGCCTTCGATAACTGCAGAATTGGTCTACAGAAGCAACTCTGACGAACGAAATATCCCCTGAGTGGTTAACGACTCCGACTGAGATGTATGAATTTCATCGTTTGAGCATCGGAGCCAGTGAATTTCATCGCATTTTCAACGTAAATTCAGCTTAGTGTAAAGCTAAAGGATGTTAGACTATATAATTCACCCCTGGAGCAATACTAGATAAAGTTTGTAAATGGTAATGTTTAATTATTTATTATTAGGGCTTATTTCCCATACCCT